TCTCAGCGGGCTATGAAAGAGCATAGGGACACCTGAAGGTGCAAATCCTGCCAGGTCGGTGCTGGGAGGGTAGAGGGAGCTGAGTCTGGCGTGGCGTTACCCGTTCTGCCTTTTAGGAATGATTCATGACGTGCAGTCTCTCCCAGATTGTGTTGTCTGTAAGCATACTATTTGACATGAGTCAAATCTGTTCTTAGGAGCTGCTGTGCTTGAGTGATTCCTGGGCTGGTGGGAGCCGTGTGAGAGTCCTGGAGGTAAGGACTCCTGTGGGAGTCCTGGAGGTAAGAGAGGAAGCCTGCAGAAAGGATGAGCTTCCCTTGGTCAAAGAGGATTGTGTGAGGGATCATTTAAGCAATCGGGACAACCACAAATCCATGGGCTCCTATAGAATGCACCCCCAAGCGCTGAGGGAGCTGGCAGATGTCATTGCTGAGCCACTCTCCATCATCTTTGAAAGGTCCTGGAGGACAGGAGAGGTGCCCGAGGACTGGAGGAAAGCCAGTGTCACTCCAGTCTTCAAAATGGGTAAGAAGGAGGATCCAGGGAACCGCAGGCTGGTCAGCCTCACCTCCATCCTGGGAAAGATGATGGAGCAACTCATTCTGGAGGTCATCATTAAGCAAGTGGAGGAAAAGAAGGTTATCAGGAGTAGTCAGCATGGATTCACCAAGGGGAAATCATGCTTGACCAATCTGATAGCTTTCTATGATGGCATGACTGGCTGGGTAGATGAGGGGAGAGCCGTGGATGTTGTCTACCTCGACTTCTGCAAGGCTTTCGACACTGTCTCCCATAACATCTTCATAGGGAAGCTCAGGAAGTGTGGGCTGGATGAGTGGACAGTGAGGTGGATTGAGAACTGGCTGGATGGGAGAGCTCAGAGGGTTGTCATCAGAGGCACTGAGTCTAGTTGGAGGCCAGTAACTAGTGGTGTCCCCCAGGGGTCAGTACTCGGCCCGTCGTGTTCAACTTCTTCATCAGTGACCTGGATGACGGGACAGAGCGTACCCTAAGCAGGTAAAGGGAGGTTCTCCTCCCCCTCTGCTCTGCCCTAGTGAGGCCACAGCTGGAGCACTCTGTCCAGTTCTGGGCTCCCCAGTTGAAGAAAGATGAGGAACTGCTGGAGAGAGTCCAGTGGAGGGCTACGAGGATGATGAGGGGAGGGACTGGAGCATCTCTTCTACGAGGAAAGGCTGAGGGAGCTGGGCTTGTTCAGTCTGAAGAAGAGAAGGGTCCCTCTGAGGGCGACAGAGCACTGGAACAGGCTGCCCAGGGAGGTTGTGGAGTCTCTTTCTCTGGAGATACTCAAGACCTGCCTGGACGCGGTCCTGTGCAACCTGCTCTAGGTGACCCTGCTTCAGCAGGGGGTTTGGACTACATGACCCACAGAGGTCCCTTCCAACCCCTACCATTCTGTGATTCTAAGTTCACCCGATTCCTGAGCTGGTGGGAGCCCTGTGAGTTCACCAAAGGCAAGCACAAAGCCTAGCACCTGTGATGCCGTAAGCCCTACAGCAGGCTGACAGGGAAGGAGGTGGCTCTCTGGAAAAGGTCTGAGGGGTACCTGGTGGGCAGCATTGGTGGTGTGACAAAGGCGGCCAACAGCATGTTGGGCTGTGTAAGCAAGAGTGTATCCAGCAAGTCGAGGTTGGTGATTATTCTCCATTTTTCAGAACTTGTGATCGTATAGCTGGAGTATCGCTTCCAGTTTTGGAAACGGCTTTTTTCCAATAGTCCACCAGTTCAAGGAAGACATTGACTTGTGGGAGCGAGTCCAGAATACCAAGATGGTCACGGGGCTGTGGCAAATTACGTATTGGGAGAGCCAGGGACAACTGGGTTTGTTCAGTCTTGAGAGGGCTTAAGGGCAGATCTCCCTGCTGTGCATAACTACCTCATGGGAGGGCATAAAGAAGACAGTCAGACCCATCTGAGGTGCCCAGTAGGAGGACAAGAGACAACACGCACGAGTTGGGACATGAGAATTCTGCTCCCATATTAGAAAAAAAAAAATTTAACATGAGGGTAGTTGAACACATAAAGAGGTCACCCAGAGAAAATGCGGATTCTCCATCTTCGGAGAAACTAAAAATTTAACCGGACATGGCCCTGAGCAGCCTGCCGTAACTGCACCTGCTCTGAGGAGCAGGTTGGACTAGATGCCTCTGGGGGTTCCACCCAACCTGCAGGATGCTACATGTCTTCCCTGATGTCCTGTGCTAAAGTCCGTGGGCTTGTGTTCATTTTTTTTGTGTCCATTGATAAAGTGAAATGTTAGAGTGAACAAGACGGAAAAAGTTTCGTTTTCATAGGTCATTGCTGCAAGGACAAAGTAAAGATCATTTAGCTGTGTAATCCAAGACACAAAAACTTAAGAGGTATCTGTGCATGAGTTTCTAGATGATTTTAGAGTGATTGCTACATATGGTATGATATATATATGATGCGATATATATGTTATGTATTTGTTGCTACTGTCCTGGAACACATATTTACCTACCAAATATTCTTTAGAATATTAATTAGCATGTGGTAAGGAATGAACTAACCTAACACAAGAAGAGAGGAGTTAGCTGTCTTCACTTTCAGAACTTAAATTTTAAAATATACTTAGCCTGCTGAGGTGTACCAGCAGCCTTAACATCACTATGGTAGCGTGTAGTGGATAGGGATAAAGTGATGCAGTCTTAGGCTTTTCATTTCACTTCTTCAGTTTTTTTACTACAATTTTGAGCAGCACCTGATACCTTATATTTTTGTTCATAAAGAAGAGTGCAAAACAGTATTTTTCTCAGAGTGCCAAACTAGAGCTGTGGCATGGTTTTTCTTTTGTTCCAGCACAGTAAAATTCAGCCATATTTCACCTGTTATTATCCTGTGACTATACTAAAAAAAAAAAAGGAAAATTGTTTTCCAGATTTTTTAGTTAAGAATAATTTTGTCTTTGAACATGCCTGTTGAATCTAAAAATCCGTTTACTATTTGGCTGGTTAAAATGGGTGCCGTTAATAAGCAGCTGCTTGGTGAGACCTTCGTTGTGAAGCTTGACCAGTTGGTTACCTCTGTGGTTTCACTTTGGACCCACCGCTTCCTTCTACAGCGACTTGTTTGTTTGTGAATCACCAGGGAACTGCGAGTTGGCCAAGCAGCAGCTCCCACGGCCGTAGGTTGTGACACCTCCCTCGCTCTGGCCGGTATCCAGCAGGAAGCGAGAAAAAGCTGTAACCGTACCGTCTCGAGTTAAAATTTCTGTCGGCATGGTTTATGTTGTCCAAAGAAGCTGTTGGTGGGGACTTGTCGATGCTAGAAACTGATATTCTTACAGAACGTGCCCTCTCAGAAAGGGAAGGGGGGACTGACCGGTACATGCACAGAGCCCTGCGTGTCCTCAGCCCTCACCAGCTCCACTGAAGGCAGGGCTGTGTGGCCAGCCCCAGCTCTGTGGTGGTTTTGAGGAGAAACCAGCAATGAGCGTCACACCGGTGCTATCGGCAAAAAACAAGAGTGCTTTCCTTTCATGTCGCGGTGTTTCAAAATACTGTCTTGCTGGCGGTGTGAACAGTGAGTGAATATTACGTACCATAAAATCCTAGTAGTTTCCTGGATTAGACCAATTAGTGTTTGTTTAGATAATTCAGAGCTTGAATGACTTCCTCTCCGGAAGCCCGGAGACTGGAGCGCTAAGGCGGCACACCTCGGCTGAGCTGCCTGTGCCTTTGCTCTGAAGGGCCTGCAGAAGATAATCACAGCTTTACAGCGACGGGTGAATTGCAGATCACGTCTTGCAAGAGGAAGCATTCTTTGCAGCACTTCTCAGTAATTAACTGATTGGAATTACAGCCTTGATTTCATGTAATGGCTATTCTGTGATGATACCCCAGTTTGAAGCCTGGAATTTGAACTTCACACACAGCTCCACGAGGTCTTTAGGGGTTGTGGAGGTGATGAAAGGGTATACCATTTTAGCATATGTTTTCATTTGCGATTTTTTTAGTATGTTCAATATTTCCAAATAAAACAGTCTGTAACAGGCCAGTAGTGTTTCTCTGATGCACCTTCCTTTATGAGTAGGTATCTGCTTCTGCTGAGGAAGAGCTAGGTGCGTTGTCTTATGTCCATGAAAAGGCCTTTTCATGTTAAACCACTCAAATATGAAGCAGAGCAGTGTTGTCTATAAAAAGTCGTTCCAGTCTCAAGGAAATAACTTTAGGAACAAATGAGCCTTGGACATCTGTTTCGCACTTTTTTTTTTTATTTTCCAGTACAATTTCCATAGTAGAAAAGCACACACATGGCTGTGCATATGTTGTTTAATCTCTTAAATTGCAATTATGATAAAAAAATGAGGAAGGAAGTCTATGACTAGGAGAGCAAGGCAAAGGGGGAATTAGGCATATGGGGTAGACCGATATTCTTGACTTGTCCTTCAGAGAATAGATGTCATCTGTCACTTCCCCTAGCCTGGAAGAGATTATATCAAAGGGATACGCTTCATCTGTAATGATGAGATCACCTTTTCTGCTCCTCAGGGAGTTGAAGATGTTGGAAGAAGAAGGTTTACTGCCTTCAAGAGCCTGGCTTGTATGTTCTGGCAAACAGCAAAAACCGTGGGGAGTAGGGGCGGGTGGGGGAAGATACCCAAGGGAAACTAGACATGCTGAGTCGTAGCTGCGTGACACAAGTGGCTATTTGAATTGCTGGGGTGTGTGGATTTGTCCTTTCTTTAAAAATTGGTAATGTTTGTTCTCATGCCTTTTTTGGCAGTTTCAGGTGGCTATTTCCCTTCAGGTAATACGCAGGCATGTGCAGAACAGTGAGGAAAGGTTACTTGGCTGAGCTTCAGGTTAAACACCTTGCACTTGACGACTCAGCTGTTCAAATAAAGTTAGTTTAGTATCTCCCAATATATAGCCTTGTAAGTCCAGTCTGAATAGGTTTGATATGATTTGAAGTGTTATCTTCAGCAGGGGAAAACCAAATTTTTTATTATTATTTTGCAGGTGGCTTCAGGTGAATGCAATGAAGATACTGAGGTTTACAATATTACGCTTAGTACTGGGGACGAGCTCACTTTAATGGGGCAAGCAGAAATCCTTTATGCAAAATCTTCTAAGGAGAAGTCGCGGTTCAACACCATCTTCAAAAAAATTGGGAAGCTTAATTCAATTAGCAAGCTAGGCAGAGGCAAAATGCCCTGCCTCATCTGCATGAACCACAGGACCAACGAAAGCATCAGTCTCCCCTTCCAGTGCAAGGGCAAGTTTAGCACCCGCAGCCCGCTGGAGGTGCAGATGCAAGAAGGTGAGCACACGATTCGCAACATAGTAGAAAAAACCAGGCTGCCCGTTAACGTGACTGTGCCGAGTCCCACGCCAAGAAACCCTTACGACCTGCATTTTATCCGTGAAGGGCACAGGTACAAGTTTGTCAACATTCAAACCAAGACTGTGGTGGTTTGTTGCGTGCTTCGTGGCAACAAAATTATCCCCATGCATTTTCCCTTGCACTTGATGCTTCCGAAATTTACTCTCCCCGACAGTCTGGTGAAGGGGGAGCAGTGGCACGAATCCCTCATCCAGCACTGGTTTAATATATGCCAGGAGCAGTTTGACATAGACGAGTATTCCCGCGCCGTGCGAGATGTGAAGACTGACTGGAACGAAGACTGCAAGAGCCCGAAGAAGAGCCGATGCACGGGGCACAGCCACGTGCCGAACTCGCTCAGCTACGCGCGGGACGAGCTCACGCAGTCCTTCCACCGGCTGTCGGTGTGTGTCTATGGGAACAACTTGCATGGGAATAGCGAAGTGAACCTCCACGGCTGCAGGGACTTGTGTAACGAGTGGGCCCTGTTTTCTCACGATGCTCTTCAGTACCAGGAGTCTGGTGACAGTAGCAGCGATTACCTTTTTCCTGAAGTTAGCGAAGAATCAATGTTTCTGCCTACGAAACCAGAGCTTCCTTACGAAGAGCTATGGTTGGACCAAGGGTCTGGAAAGGCTGGCGACCAGCCTCTCACTCGCTCGCTAAGTGAGAAGAACAAATGTGACAACTACAGAGGGTCTTTCCGATCAAAGGGTGGTACCGCATCTCTTCCTGTGCCTGCAGCTGTTGGAGCAACCACGAAGTCTTCAGATGTTTCCCTACCTCCACCTCCAGTGCCTCCCAAATCAGAAGCAGTAAGTCAGGGTTGTTTATGTTGTTTTGTTTCTTTCTGGTGAAGAGTTTGCTTGGGGAATTTTTTTTAGGGAAGACTTTGGGGAGGGAGGCACATGGAGGGCAAGGAAACGGTGAGACTTTGAGATGTGCAGCTTGAACCAGTTTCCTACCAAGTGTAAGTCACGTCCTAAAAATGACCATAGTAGATTTAATATAACTGATGTGTTAGCTTAATCCTGGTACTTTCAGGTGATACTTATTGGGGTTTTTTGCTGACACAAACAAGGTCTAAGAATTGCTACATCACTTCCTTCCCTTGCTTTCCACATCATATCTCCATGTTCTTCCATGTTTTCTCCTGTTTTCTGTGGCCAAAGTGTGTGAAGCATGACCCTGCTTTGAACTGCCTGGGATCCCCTTACTGTGCGCATCTTCAATTAACAGGCCTTGATAATGAGGACAGCTAGAATTCTTATGGATTTGAAGTGTTTGGTGATGAGAGATTGTCTTCTCTGTTACAAGTCTGTGGCAGATTTTGAAGGATATTAAGTGTTGAGTGTTGCTAACCTGAAGGAAACTTTATCAAGCTAGACCTGAACTAATCGCTCTGTACTGCTTATTGAAAGAAAACACATTTAAATAGGAGCCCTGCAGACTTGATAAATCAGCCTTCTAGAGGTCTCAGTTTTAAACAGAGCATGTTTCCTGTCCTGGGATTTCTAATGAAAACTCATGGGAGAAATCACTGCTCCAAACCTGAAAAGTCATGGAGACTTCAGAGGCAAAAATACAAATATGTTTTATCAACAGGAGCTTACATGGACTGGGTGGAAGATCCAACCATTATGTGGTCTCTTGACATAGTCCTAAACATCATTTTTTAAAAAACATGAGGGGAAAAATGAAAACTTCCCCCAAGGAACGAGTGTCTAGGAATCTTTAGCAGAATTTAAACAGCACATACTTATGTGATGTTAATCTTGACAGGTAATATAATTTAACAAATTAGTTTTGCAGGGTTTTTGCTGGAATTTAAAGAAAGAAAATATTGTTCCATTTACAAGTCTGGTGGTATTTTCAAGAGCATGGGTGCACAGTAAGCTGAGGCTAATCCAGGACCAAACTGCAGCAAACCATGGTGATCCATGATGATTTATGGCAATCCACAGTGATCAATGACTTAATGATCTTACAGGTCTTTCCCAACCTTAGTGATTCTATGATCCCATCCCTTCCCTATTCCTGTCTGACAGTCCAGCAGTGTTGGCCATAGCCTTTCCATCTCGAGCCAGGTCACAGTCTGGTTGAAAGCGAAGACGTGTTTATTCGTGCTCAGTTGGGTTTCCACGGGGATCCCCGGGGCCGGGCTGTGTAGCTCCTGGGGGGCTGCGGCAGGGAGATGGGAGGAGAATGCCAGTGCAGGCACGAAACGCGCGCCTGCAGCCCTCTGACCATGCTGCCAAAGCGTCCCCAAAAGGCAGCCACAGCATCTTCAGCAAAGACAGGAAAGTCAAGACATTACGTCTTCTTAGCAGAGTGTGTTTATGCATTATATCTAAGTGCGGGAACTCAAGAGCACTTCCGAGCCTCCGAGGTGAGGTACGCGCTGACGCTTAGTCCAGGCTCCTTTGGACAAGTGCCCGGCAGCACCGTACTGGGATGAGGTTTCCTGGCAGCCTGCACCGATGTAAACCGGCGTGGGGCTGGTCCCAGCCTCATCGTCCTCCCCCTCCTCCCCCTTTCCCAGCCCCATCGT